TGCGCCGCTGAAGAGCCGACCCCTTGTGACCCACTGGATGTCAGAGTGCATTTCAAGCCAGATCCAGCTTTTCCTTTTTTTTTTTTTTTTTTTTTTTCTTTTCTTCTCTTTCCTTCTGATTTTGTTTGGGTTGGAATCTTATTAATAACTGGAAAGTTTTGAAGGGGCTATTTTTAACTGCTTAGCTGTCATATTTCAGTAGCGTGGACGTGGAGCTCTGAGTGTACAGATAAAACACCCCCAGCACAAGGTGCTGCTGGGTTTAAACCCAGCCTAAGCAGCTCCCTGCTCCATTTCCCTCCCAAAATATTCCCTACATGAGAATCCCTGTGCTCATTATCAAGGTCACTGATAATGTTCATTAATCAAGGTCGCTGCCTGCGTGGAGCCTTTCCGTGGTGAGGAAGCTCTGGAATCTCCCCCTGTTCCAAGCAGGGTGTTTTTTAGGAATCCTTGGTTGCTGTAGAGCCCCAGACAGGCTGATTTGAGGCAGGACACTCATCTGGCCACACTTGTCAGCAGCTGGGAGTGACCCCTTTATCTCCTGTGTGCCCCTCACACGGGGCTGGGGAGATGTTCCCATCGGGCTTGGGAATGTGGAGCTTTGATGTGCAGATGCCTGAGGAGCCAGATCAGCATCTGGGGCAGGATGGGCTGGCAGGGAACAGCCTGCTGGCCCTGTTGGATCAGCCTGTTGGACCACGCTGCTCCCATCACGCTCCACAACGGGAGAATCCTTTTTTTTTATTTTTTTTATTTTTTTGGTCCAAAGCACAGGAGAAGCGAGGGCTTTGCTTTGAAGCAAAGATGAGTTCATGCCTCAGTGCTTGGGAAGCTGGAGAGCTGAGCTTTGCAGCTCATCTGGATCTTCCACAGCACTCCAGAAAACATTTAATAAACCTCTGAGCCTGCTTTTCCAGGGGACTGCTGCTCCTCACACTCGGCTGCCTGTGCCAAAGGCTTTCCCTCTCTCCTGACTCTGGGAGCTGCAGAGCTGCTCCTGACGTGTTCACTGCACCTCTGTGGGGTCGGGGAGAGGATATTCCCTGATTCCATAGGACAGGGAATGGCTTCAAACTGCCAGAGGGCAGGGCTGGATGGGATCCTGGGGAGGAATTGTTCCCTGGGAGGGTGCCCAGAGGAGCTGTGCCTGCCCCTGGATCCCTGGAAGTGCCCCAGGCCAGGCTTGGATCAACCTGGGAGAGTGGAAAATGTCCCATGGCAGGGGGTGGCACTGGATGAGATTTCAGATCCCTTCCAACCTGGATCATTCTGGAATTTATTTTTTTTTTTTAACCAAACATTTGCTTTTCCTCATTATTTATTCCTATTTGCTGTTGTTCCATTTCCTTCTGGTTTTCAGGATTTCTCTGCCATGAAGTGCATTCCTTGGTTGGATTTTTAGGCCTTAGGAAGCTTTTCCAACCTGAACCATTCCATGATCCCCTGATTGCTCACCCTGCAGCTCCACACTCCCCTGTGGCTCAGCTCCTTGTGCCCTGAGCCCAGGAAAGGATCCCAGGCTGGTTTGGGTTGGAAGGACCTTCCAGCCCATCCCATTCCATGGGCAGGGACACCTTCCCCCCTCCCAGTCTGCCCCAGTCCCAGCCCTGTCTGAGCACTGGGTTATGGGAGGACAATGTGGGATTTGTTTCCCTGGAGCTTTCCCTGGGCTGGGCTCTCCCAGCCCGGGATTAAATCCTCCCTTGGAGTTTCTGGAAAGCAATAACGGGGTTGGGAGGAGGGACCGTGGGCATTCACAGCCCCCAAGAAGAGCCCTCACTCTGCTGTATAATGGCCTTCTGTTGGCTTTTAGTGGGGTGCAGTTTAGTAAATTAGGAGTCTTCAGGTACTTAGCACTTTAATGGTTCTCACTAAGAACATAATTAAACCATAGACCCCGTAGGGAGAAAGAAAAAAAAAAAAAAACAAAAAAAACCAGTTTATTGTGAGTATTTTTAGACTCTGTTAGCAGCCCTCATAAAAGCTGCTCGATGCAAGCCAGGGAACAGGCCCGAGCTGGCGACCCAGAATTCCTGCAGCAGCACTCACACCTTACAAATCTGCCCCGTGAATTACACAATTCATTTCCCTGCTCCCATTTCCAAAGGCGTTTGCAGCAGCAGTTTCTCCCCGGCTGCTGGAGGGGTGAGGGAGCCACCAGGGTTCTGATGTTGTGCTGACACACAAAGCCAGGGATTGCTAATTGTATTTTTAATTTTTTAATTCTTTTATTTCTTTTTAATTTTTTATTTTTATTTTTTTTTTATTTAGTCTCGCAGAGCTGCCCAGAAACGGGGCTGCTCTGAGCTCACAGCTCTGCTCCCTCATTGTGTGCATCCACCTTGGGATTGTTTGGTTCCATCTCCCTTGGAGCTGCATTTCCATATCTGTGGATATGGAAATCCTGTCACACATCTCTGTGTGTCAGGAGATCATTCCCTGTGTGTGTGTCAGGAGATCATTCCCTGTCTGTGAGTCAGGAAATCACAATTCTGGGTGTAGGAGAACTCCCAGCTGCTTTTAGGGTGCTCCCTAGGATGAGGACATGGAGAGGGAATTTTCATCAGGGCTGATGGGATAAGGGGGAGTGGCTTCAAACTTTTATTTAGTTTATGATGGAAGATGGAATAAGATGGATTAAAATGGAATATTGGGATAAAATCCTTCCCTGAGAGGGTGGGGAGGCCCTGGCACGGATTCCCAGAGAAGCTGTGGCTGCCCCTGGATCCCTGGAAGTGTCCAAGGCCAGCTTGGATGGGGTTTGGAGCAGCCTGGGATGGTGGGAGTGGGAATTAAAGAATCCTCCAGGTTCCTTCCAACCCAAACCATTCTGGGTTTCCATAATTCCCCTCCCAGCACAGCCCACAAAGCAAAGTGCAAAGCTCCAAATCCCAGGGATGAGCTGGGAAAGCTTTTCCCTCCTCCTGGGCTCTGCCACCAACACCAGGAGGTTTCCATGGGATAGGATTTCTCTGGAACAGCAGCTGTGGGGCAAATTCCCTCTCCAAAATCCCAGCAAGGTTCCCCTGGGTGCTTTCCCCGGCTGTGGGTGCCTCTGGCGGGCACAAAAAGAATCCAGGAGGTTTTTCCAGCATCCTGGTGATTCACAGGCTGCTCCTGCCCATCCCAAATGAGCAGGGCTCCCTTCCCAGATGTGCTGAGCAACATCTGGAAGGCATTGGGAGGAACACACACACACACACACACACACACACACACATCTGCTCCCCCTGCAGCTCCTGGAGGATATCTGGGACATGGGAATCACTGCGCTGTCCTGGGCTTTATCCTCAAATCCCAAACTGGTTTGGGTTGGAAAGGACCTTAAAACTCATCCCTGTCATGGCAGGGGCAATTCCCACCGTCCCTGGTTTTCCTTTATCCTTAATCCCAAATCGGGAAGGACCTTAAAGCTCATCCCTGACAAGGCAAGGACAATTCCCACCATCCCTGGTTTTCCTTTACCCTTAATCCCAAATTGGTTTGGGCTGGAAGGGACCTTAAAGCTCATCCTAACCCCATCCCTGTCATGGCAGGGACAATTCCCACTGTCCTTGGCTTTCCTTTATCCTTAATCCCAAATTGGTTTGGGTTGGAAAGGACCTTAAACTCATGCTTGTCATGGCAGGGACAATTCCCCCCATCCCTGGCTTTGTTTTATCCTCAAATCCCAAATTGGTTTGGTTTGGGAAAGACCTTAAAGCTCATCCAGTCCCAGCTCAAACAATAAATAGGAACAACACATTTCACAGTAATTAACACACAATTCATTAATTAATGTATTAATTTCAGTTCTAATAGGTGTGCCATTAGTAATGCCACCTGCTCTCATCCTCATCCGTGAGTGTCAGACATTCCAAGCTGTTGGATCAACACCTTGGCTGGGTCAGGATTGGTTAAACGAATTGATTTTAAATTAAAAATAATTAAATAATTAAATTAAATTGAAACTACAATTAAAAATAAATAATGCTTCATTTTAAGTATTTTTTAAGTACTAATACTTTAAAACTATTAAGTACTTTAATATACTTAAAATAGATTACTATTATTGTTATTAAATTATTAAATGGATTAATGATAACAAATAATTACTAATGATAATTACGTTTGTGGTAATAATAAGGACAATGATGGTGATAACAATTTTATAATTATAATTACACAATTTTATATTTAAAATAAATTATGAATATAACAATGAATAATGATAATTATTGTGATCACGATAATGATAATGATAATAACAATGATAATAATAATATAATGTAATAATATAAATATAATAATATAGGTAATAATTTTTATTTGTATATTTATTTTTATTTTTATTTTTATTTTTATTTTTATTTTTATTTTTATTATAGCCAAGGAACCACCTGCCTGCTTGGAAGGACAAAACCATTTCCCAGCAATTTGGGATGTGAACAATCCCTTTGGGAGCATCCCTGGGGATCTGCAAGGACCCAACCCAGGATGAACTGGAGCAGGTCCT